ACTTAAGGATGGTCATCTTGCTGGATGTGTATATTTGCCATCAGTCTGGAGGGTTAGAAAGTCTGAAAGGCTATCAAGAATCTGTAAGGTCTTGAATGTCACAAGAGTATTGAGAAAGTCAACACTGTGTTTAAAAAAATTAAGAATTGGCAGCATTAAGATTGTAAAGCAGACCCTGAAAACTGGGTAACCTGCTAACAAACAAACAAAAACCAGACTTACTGTGAAGCAGAAGACTTAAGTGCTTTGTGACACTTGATTAATTCTCTTTAGGGGTTTTCTCATGAAACAACAGCTGTACTGTTTTGAGAAGTGTTATTGGAGCTCTAACAATATGAAGATATTTCATGCAGGACAGAATACAAAAGGCATTCTTGAGACAATTCCAAAATACACAGAAGAGATTGTCAGTTTAAACTAACAACACTGCAGTTTAGTGCTTGCTCAGTTAAAAGAAAAAAAAAAAAAGGGCTTTCCTGCTATATTTAATTGCATTTTAAGTAGTACAAACTCAGCAGGTGAAAGCACTTTTTAAGTTATCAAGGAAAACATAATAGGAAGACTGTGGAGGATGTTTGTGTCCATAGAACTATGTCATGGATGTTCTAAACATCACTTGAACTATGTAACTGTCCGAGATGCAGGGATTCAGAGTTGTCTTCTGTTTCAGAGTACATCACAGCCCAAAAGGTTTGGTCTGGGAAACTGCAGTTCTACGGACTTCTGGTGCTTGCATGCCTGCATAATAACATCAGTTTATGTAGTTGAATAATTTCTGGCTTCTGTTTTTATGCCTACGTTTCAATAGTGTGTTAAATAAATTAGTTAAGTTAAATAAATAAGTTAAGTTAAATAAATTCTGAATGTTTATAACATGATGATTTTTTGCATCTGGAAATTACACTGTATTTGGAGGATTGTACAAATACAATTTTTCCTGTTCTGTGGCAATTAAACTTAAATGTTTAAGTTGAGCATACTGAAAAGTTGTTTGTGATGTCTTAGTAAAAACTATAGAATTAAAGTTCTTGAAGACTATGTTTTTTGTTTATTTTTTTTTTAATAATCACTGACCAGGAAGAAAAAATGTCACACTGATCCTTTGTGTGTTTTTTCCCCCTCTTAAATAATCATGTTCTGATTAGTGTGTTATAAAAGGTGATACACATAGCTGTCACAGGGAGTAGAGTAACAGGAGATCCTTACTACTGCTGAGTTAAAGCAAGCTCACTGTTCCCCAAGAAATTACACTTCTGCAGGACTAGCTTTTTTAGGCAGCAAAGTTTGTCTAGGTGTGACCTCTATTCTTTGTCAACATGACAACAATCTGGCAGTAGCATCTCAACAGAAATAGTTTGCATACTCTATACATTCATTTCTTACTGATAAGTTGAAAAGTGTAAGCTTCCTCCAAGTTGTCAGTAAGACTTTCACTGGAAAACAGAAATGCATTTCCTAGTGTTGTGTTAAAGGCAATGGCTCGTAGGAATCGGTAGTTTTGAACCTGGCTGGCAGCCAAGCACCACACAGCTGCTTGCTCACCCTCCCCCTTCCCAGGGATGTTTTTTAGGGGTAAAGGGGAAGAGAGACTTGTGGGTTGAGATAAGAACAATTTAATAACTAAACTACAATATTGAAAGTAATTATAGTAATACTAGTAATATAAATAAATGAGTGATACACAGTGATACTGCTCACCTCCCAATGACCAAGGCTCAGCCTGTTCCCAACTAATGATCCTGGAGCAGGGAGAGTCTTGAAACTGCAATCATGAAAAAGCAATAAGAGACTGAGCATCTGTGAGCAAGAGAGTGAGACAACCCTGAGAGAGGGGTGGCCCAGAGATAGAGACAATTAGGAGAGAGAACGCTTCTGGACGGATCCTCATCTATATACAGGGCATGATGTTGATGATAGGGAATATACTATTGGCCAATTTGGGTTTCAGTCCTAAACCTAAGGTCGAATCCTAGGCCAGTAATTGGGGCTGGGCTCCCTCCCAGCTTCTGCACCTGCAGACACTGGCACAGCACAAAAGTCCTGGACTGTCCTGGCAGTAACTCTAAGCATCAGTATGTTACCAGCCACCTTCTCAGTACACATCCAAAACACAGCCTCTTACTAGCTACTATGAAGAAGGTTAACTGTCCCAGCTGAAACCAGGACAGATTCACTTGCTGATAATTCTGTCCTGTAGTAATTTTTCACAATATAGAGGTATTCATTAAGTCACAGTAAAACAGACTTTTTTCAGTCTACTGAATTTTGCAAACATGTTGTGGGACAAGTAGAAATAGGACAATTGTAGCCTAAATTTATTAGGCTAAGCTTTGAGTTCTTATTCCGTGTTAATGTGTTACTGAGTTGTGAAGCATGGTTAGACCCTAGTCCTCAGATGCTGTACAAGTAGAGAGTAGCATTTTAGAGAGCTGTCTCAGAACAATCGTAAGAATAAAATACTGATGAACGTGACAACTGAAAAATTATTTGATAACTGTCCATTGTGTACTTTGCCAACTGTAAAAACTTCTTGAAGCCTAACAATTGGGAGCAAACATAAGAGTTCCATTTGAACAGGGTTCTGGTGATCTTTACACCTGTAATTCTTTTGCTTTCTATATGAACTGCATTTTCTCTCTTCCCTTCTTTCAACACTTGCCTATACTTCATCTGAGAAATATTTTCTTTTCCCACTAATCAGTGTCCCTTTTAGAACAAGTGAATGGAGCAGAACAGTGCTAACAGAGATGTGGAACCGTGAGCTAAGGGTGACTCCTATGAGGTCTGATTTCAAAGATGATCATAAAGTAAAGCTACTAAGGTCAGAAAGATACAGAAAAAAAAGAAAAGCACATGCCATGAAGCTCATTGGAAGTCTGGGCATCATTCACAGAACTACTTAAATGAAATAAAATTTACATTGCACCTCTTGGCAGTGCTTCTTTAGTAACAATTTTAATTTCTCTTCTTCCAGGTATCAGCGTAATGTATCTATTTGCAAAGTCATGTTTCTTTTCTTCTTGCTTAGCTGATCCTTGGCTAATCTTTTCAGGGAGGTGGTCGTGGTGGTATTGTTGCAATTTAGGACCAAATGACAGTGTGGAGACCAAATTAACTCTGATACCAAAACACTTCAATCATACATGCGTGCAATTTTGCAGATTCCCTGTTTGACGGGAGATGTGGTGTGCTCCAAAAGAAAAGTCATGAGGATTAGTGTTGTGATTCCAATTTTGCTGTGTGTAATCCTGGTTCAGCATTGTGGGGTCCCCTGGATTATTTCTCCCTCTTATGTTGGATGCTCTCAGTTACAGCACTGGGTAGTAGAGAATATTTGATTCTTATATGGCCTGTTCAGGTTTATGCAGGGTCAAAAACTGGCTGTTGCCATCACTGATGCACACAGGCTGCTTGTCTCAAAGGTTCTTGGAATACATGTTTCATAGCATTTCCGTAAATAAACTAGAAAAATGTAATCTCCCTTGTTCTTAACAGAATGAAATGCTTTGTTCCTGTGCCTGCTAGGAGGTAAGAAAAAAAGAAAAGCATTAAAGCTTAAATAGCAGAAGCTGGAGAAGACAAATTGGAATAATACAGGGTATATTGTCCTTGTAAATGGTATGCTACACGTTGGTGTTTGGCCTTTTTGAGTCTGATGAAATTGTTTGGGTGAATTCAGTATCCTTTCCTCCTTGTTAATATGTGCTTATATGCTTTCTTACCTTTCAGTGCTATCTGAGGCTAGATTGAGAGAGAACTAATGATACTTTCTTCTGGCTGAGAAATTTATGTGGTGACTGGTTAATCCAGAATTGGAGTTTAGCCTATATTTACTTTATACAGAGATTTACTGGGAACAGCTAAATGGGAGTAAAATGTTTACCTGAGTAGCAAGTGGGTTTCATCCTTATTATTTGTCTGTTGATGGGTTTTACTGGTCTTCTAATGCCTCCTTCAAAGTTGGTAAACCCCTGTAGGAGAAGGAGGCTATTTCAGATATTAGGCAGGTGGTGACATGATTTTTTTTTCTGCTATGTCTGCTAGCCAGGCACATAAATAATATGAGTTCAAGTTATGTTTATTGGTATTTTTAAGATAATTCCCATTTACAGGGGGGAATACATGCTGTAAAATGTTGTACCTCGTCTCTTGTTAGATATGTTCTTACTGTCTCAGAATGAGGCTTTTCTACATTTGATTGCTCTGAGAGATTTAAACGTTTCCTGTTGTGTGGTTTTAGTTCAGTAGGAAAGAGATATTTATCAGAAAAAATTTCCTGAAAGATGCACAAAATTCCTGTATCCTCCCGCCAAAAGTGGATTAGTTTTCAGTAACACTTCTTGCTTTTCCAATTGAGACATTTTTCGTCGTCTCCAGCCCCATCAGGCTTGAATTCTGTTTAAATGACAACATTAGCTAGTGTGATTATCTTTTTTTTTTTTTTTACAGTCCTTGGCTTATTTCATCGGAAAGCATACTAAACTGTGATTCTATCAGGTTTAATTACTTCAGTTAAATAGAGAATGTAAATTATAGCAATTGAGAAGCCATAGCAGGGGCATTACAGTGTTTCTTAAGTCCCACTGAATGAATTGTCTGAACTAAAATGTAACAGAGGAGTTTTATTGTTATTATTCAGAGCAGTATTCATGTTTTGGATTCAAATGCTTAAGCACAAAATGGTTTTTATAAATACTTAACCTGAGGAAGTGGGTATCTTTTATAATATACTATTGCTTCCTTATTTTGGTTTGTCGTGCTTAGTAAATCACTGAAGTTTGAATATGTGACAGTTAGTTAAGAAACTGTCACATAATCTGTAGGTTTTTTTTTTTTTTCTATTGAGAGGATGGCTTGATCTTAATACATCTAAAAGCTTAACATTTAAATGAAATGACAATTTTGATTGTAATTTAAATCTCTGTAAAGTTTTGTTTATAACTTGAGAGTGACAGATTGAATGAATGAGGTTGATTGTTGGTGCCTTTTTTTTTTTTTAGACATTATTTGATAATCAGATCAATGCTTCAAAAAAGGAAGACTTGGAAAGCATTAATAAAAATGACACTTCAAAGAAGATGTCTGTTGAGAGAGTTTATCAGAAAAAGACTCAGCTTGAGCACATTCTGCTCCGTCCAGATACCTACATTGGGTCAGTTGAACCATTAACTCAGGTAAGTGTCACTAAGTTTACAGTCTTAATAGTTTTTGTTGTGTTAATGAGGAAGTTACTATCCTGATTAATAAATAGGCAAATCTGTACTTTTCTGAGTATTCTGAATTATCATGCTAAAAACTGTGGTCATGTTTATGTTCGGATGTGTAGGAAGGGGTCAAGAGAAGACTTTTTAAAGCAGTGCTTGATTCACCTGAAAAAACATGTTCAGAAAATGTTGAAGTTCAATCAAAACATAAATACACACCTATGTGTGTAAACAGGGTTATGTGCGTGTATGTGTATGTTTACAAACATGCCTATATGCACAAAATTATGTATAGATGTTTACAAGTAGCATTTGCTCCAGGTCCAAAAATACTTTGTTCTATTTGTTTAGGTAGAGTACAGAGAATTTAAGCCTCCTACTGGCACTTTTTTCCGCTTTTTTGTGAAGTTGCAAATTACTTTGAACTTTGCTGTCTGTACTGTTGGAATTCCCCACAAAGCAGAAAATAATGCATTTTTATTATGGAAGTCTTTGTGGGTACGGTTGTAATTTTTGACAAACTTCTGCTTCTGCTTGTGTCTCATATGGCAGCAGCAATCAGATTGGAAGAGTAAAGTTCCTGGTGTAAATAGATCTTATGGAATAATAAACTGCTTTACCAAGACAGTAAAATATTTTTATTTTGTTTTGTTTTCATGTAGTTAATGTGGGTTTATGATGAAGATGTAGGAATGAATTGCAGAGAAGTTACCTTTGTTCCAGGCCTGTACAAGATCTTTGATGAAATCCTTGGTAAGTATTGTTAACAGTAATATTGCTTTAGCATTATGGAGTACACACTTTTCTGAGAGGTCTCAAAGCATATTAATTTGTGTATCAGTTTAAATCACAGACTTAGAGTCCCACTAAACGGCAGTGCATGAAAATTTTAGTGCATTCCAGCACTACAGAATAGTTTAAACAGGGAAGAGTGTTTTCAGTTGAACTTGTAAGACAATGTAAATATTTGTTACTGAATGTCTAAACTAGATCATTCTTTATGATCAATGTTGTTACAAGATTTTTAATCTGCAAAGTTGATCAGGGCCACAGTTTTAAGTAACATTTGAAAGAAGATTATTCTTCTGAAAGAAGGCAACTGAAAGTTGTCTGTTAACTTAGAATGTCATCTTGTGAGTCATTAAAACTACCTCCTGTACAGAATAATAGTAGTGGTGATGGTGATTCTTACAGGGATCATTTCTAGTCTTCAGACAGTTCTAAAATGCCTAAGTATCCTACTGCCATTTAAAAGCATGGTTACTGAGGCACAAATGATTTTTAGAAAATTCTATTGTAAGAACCTGAGTTGCTATGACTTGTTAGTTTATGATATTCTCTTAGTACCCGCACACATTGAACACCAAGCAGCAGTAGAGATGAGCAACATCTGAACAGAGTGGTGTCTGCTGAACTGATACTTTGGGTTAATTGACATGAATTCTTGGGCTAATCAGTTTTTATGAAGTTACATTTTAAGGATTGGTGGGATTACATTGTAAACTAAATTATGGTCTATTCAGTCAATGGAATTGACAATTGAGTCTATTAGTCAATGGAAAATTTGTCATGACCTTCGTTGGGCTCAGCGTTTATCCACACCTCTAAAACTACACTTTATGGCATTGATGTCTTGGAGGCAGTAAAGACCATCTTGGCCTGGTGGAAAAGAAGGATTTTTATTTTTGTTTTTTTACTCATTACTTAATTTGAGAAATATGGGAATGAAAATCTTTTGTCACTTCTTCGAGTACTGACTCATAGATGAAGTTTACAGGCCTTTCATGGGAGGGAGTTACTTCCATCTTGTCCCTTTCAAAAGGAAAATAGCTATCATAACATTATCATTATCGTAGTACTGTATGGCTTATTGCTTCTTTATGTAGCACTGCTAAGTGCTCCACAGAGTGTGGTTTGAGAGCTAGAGGTCACTGTAATAGCGTTACAAAAATTGGACATTATAGCTGTGCATATTTTTTTAATGAAACTGCACTTAATTATTTTAGGAAAAGCACCTTGAAATATCTGATTGTATATTGAGATCCTTATAATCTATTAAAATATTGTAATTTTAATGCATTTATCTTCCTGTCCTTTAGTGATTTGGGGTTTTATTTTGCTTTATTTAATGGGTGACAAAACAAATGCTGAAAATTATTGTAATGTGTTTTCATAGTTAATGGCCATAGTCACATTTCTGGTCTCTGTTGTTTGTAGTTGATATACATTGGAGTGCAGTTTAATTAAATTCCGGTCAAATGTTAACTTCCAGTTATCCTTCTTTTCATACTAAGCTGTGTAAACTGTTTAGGAACTAGTTTACAACTGTAAGTCTCGCAGGCTCTTTAGAGATAGCTTTCGCTGCAATTGAAACACTCCTTAGTGGATGTGACTTTTTCAGGACTGGGTTTCAGTGGCAAAAGGATGTGCAGGCTGGTCTGATGATGCATATAATTTCCCAAGGTTTTTAATATACATGGTGTAATGTGTGTAGTAAATATGCAAATAAGTGCAGCAACAGAAGAATGAAGTGTTCAGTATGTTAAGAACAGTTATGACAACAAGCTCACAAAATACACTTCTAAATTAGTCTAAGTGCTAGAAATAAGAGTCAGTAATTATAAGAAGGTTGAAGAATATTTTCTTGCAGATACTTGGTCATATTTTCAGATTCAATAATAAGATACAGACTATACAAAAAGATACCAGATTAAGAAATACCTGGACCATTGTGACTTGTGGTGGAATATGTATATAATCGATTTCACAGATCTAGTAATTAATTATTGCTATAGAAAGTGTTAATTTGTGCTACTTTGTTTTACAGTAAATGCTGCTGACAATAAGCAGAGGGACAAGAATATGACTTGTATTAAAATATCCATTGATCCGTAAGTAAAAGCATGTTTTCATTTACTTTCCCTGCCAGTACTATTGTAGGTCAGATTTGTACAAATTGTTTTTCTAAATGAAACTGGATTTTTTAAAAAACAAAATAATGTGTTTGGAATTATTTCCATTAGCTTCCTATTTTAAGATGAAAAGGTGAATTAGAAGTGGTTAACAGTAAGTACTACCATTCTGAATTTATAGTAATTTGCTTTGCTAAGTCACTCATTAATGTTTGATTGAAGGAAACTTAAACCCATAAGTTTATAAAATTAATGATTATATGAAAGCTTGGTAGTACATAGCTATAACTAGCCAGTTAACTTATAAATCATAAATACCAGCCTTGGGGTTTTGTAACATAATTTTGCACCCCTTGAACTTCTCTGTTAACTCTTTAGCGTTAGTATAAGGTTATGTTTGAATTAGTCAGCTATATCACACTGAAACTGCAGATTGCAAATATGTCATTGCCACCGTTTTTCAAAATTGAACTAATGAGAAGTACCATAGTTAAATAGATGTTGATTGGGTTCCTTTAGTAGTACATTTTCAGTGACATTTAGCTGACTAATAAATGGTTTAGAGACCTAATTTTGACACCTAATCTTTAGGATAAATACACTGAGAAATACTTTTATGGCAAGTTTTCAGTACATTATGACTTTCTGTAGACCAAATTGTTTTGATCATGGAGGGGGAGGGAAATGGTAGTGTAAGTCTGCCTGACCTGTCATGATTTTGGACTCTCCAATAGTTGGAAATGCAAATCCTATATGAGACCTACGATTATTAATGATGCCAGATGGTGATGGATCTTGGCATTGATGCATAAAATAAGTTACAATGCTTATCATAACTGGGAAATAACAGTTTTAATCAAATGATAATTTGGCTGTGTCTGAGTGTACTTCAGTGAAATTAAAAAGCTACATCTCTAACTTAAGCATAGTTCTGTCACTCAGCTTCAGAATTCTCATGTAGATCATGTTGATAGTGAAGCTCTCCAAACAGATTTTTGGGGGTTATTTTTATGATACGAAATACTGTCATGTATGGGCAATTATGCTCCTTCTTTGAAGACATTTAATAAGCACAAAGAAGTGGTTTTTTTGTAGTTAAAATTGATAGAGCTGTGAAGAAATGTGTTAAGAATACTGCCTTTTATTTTATTTTATATAGTTATTTGAACAAGTAAAATATATGCTGCAGTCTCTTTTCAAGATTACATTAATTGACTTAACATCTTTGCTCTTTTATAGGGAATCAAACATTATCAGCATATGGAATAACGGAAAGGGTATACCAGTTGTGGAACACAAAGTAGAAAAAGTATATGTACCTGCTTTAATCTTTGGGCAGCTGCTAACATCCAGCAACTATGATGATGATGAGAAAAAAGTTACAGGCAAGTCTGTTTAACATGCTTTGTTTCGTTCAATTAAGCCACTGTTTGCTTTTCAATATGCTTTCTTGTCTTACTTTTTATCTTTCTATTCTGTTCCATAACAGATGATCACATGGTCACCATTAGTATAGCTCTGTTAGAGTAAAATGACTTACAGAAAAAAATATTTTTATTTTTTTAATATCAGTGTTTACAGAGAACTTCACATTTATGTCTTTAATGTCAGTACTCATTTAGTAACAAACAACGTATTTTCATATTTTAATTATAATATATGCAAGCATTTAAACATTTATGCTCTTGAAATGAAGTGAAAAATTAAATTTAATAAATTCAGTTATGATTTGTTAGTCTAAATATGAAGTAACTATAATTTAGATCATGAATGAAAATTAATTCTGTTCTGTCCTATATCCCGTATGTTTTGCCCATATTATGATGTATGGTTGCAGATTGATTTGGAACTGATCATGACCTAGTTTTCAGCTGATGAAGGTGTTGAGGTCACTTGCTTTTCGGCAAACAATTGGTAGATTAACTGAAGGGAAGCAATGGAAGCGTCCTGGCCTTGGGGGTAGGAGCAAACTGCTCATTTTTGAGGCAGAAGCAGTTGCACCAGATCGGAGATAGTGTGAGACTCCATCTCTGGCATCCTTTGATAGGTGTTGGCACATGGCCCAACTTTTGTCTTATATAGGAACATTATATTTTATTGGCATACTCTCTGAATATCATAAATATGGTTCTGGTGTAAAAAACTTACTAGATGTTATTTTTTTAGGTGGACGAAATGGCTATGGTGCGAAACTTTGTAACATATTTAGTACAAAGTTTACAGTTGAAACTGCTTGCAAGGAATACAAACACAGCTTTAAGCAGGTATAGAAATGATCTCAATTTTTTTCCTTTTCTTTGTTGTAATTATAAATTTAAAATTTAACATATTTTCTATACTTAATGAATATTTCATGCAACGGATAATTTAACATTCAAATGGATGTGTAGAATTTGCAGACTAGGTAGTTCGGTCAGTAAAATTGGTGCTTCTGTGTATTAGAATTTCTTGGGAGTATTAAGTGACTAAACTGAAGTATATTCGTGTGCATGTGAAAAGGATGATATTTAATTGAAATAGTTTGTATTTGCTGTTATATAATTTGTCAAAAAATCTTTCTACTTAGCTATGCAGTTATCTAGAAAAAGATTTTTCAGTGTTTATGTCATTAATTTCATTAGCCTAGCTGGACTTAAGTGCAAACCTCCCTTCCTCCACTTTTGTACCCATTGCTCATTGTTATTGTTAGTGCACAGACCAGGCATTGACTGTAAACTTATCTACTGTATATACCTTTGAGACAGCCACCTTTCTAAAAGTTTGAAGAACTTTGTTAGAGTATTAAAAACTAAAGATCCTTGGCTTTGGAGTCTTTCCTGGTTGGTGGTTTCCTTCTCTTTTTTTCTGGACAAGTAATTAATTTCTGTCTATGCTGTCATGTCACTACATAAACAATACATTTCAACGGTTTTACCTGTCTCTTTAAAAGCATAATGTTTTCTGCTGACTGCCAAAAAGTAAATTTATATTGGTCTGAGTGTACATTTTGAAAATGACATGTTTTACAACTTAGATAAAGTGCTATGTTTTCCAGTATTTTCCAAAAATTGTGAAAATTTAATACGACTGAACTTTGATATATGCTGTGAGAAGGCGTTCTGCTTGGTCTTATAGATGTGCCCATGTTCTAATATAGGGAACAGTACCAAGACTCCCGAGTCAAGTCTGAGCAAGTCAGTTTTTCAGGAAACATGCTTTGGTACACTGCACAGCCACAAAGATGCTATCTCAGAGACAACTGAGTCTCTCTCTGCACAGGGACTAATAGGTTTCTTTATAGAAGCACATAGTAGATTTAAAGTGTTAAACTGATGAGCAATAAGGACTGTTTAGCTATCTCACTTGTATCTCATTTGGTCAGTTCTGTGGTGGGCTCTATTTGCATTAGAATCACGTCTATCACTGTAATGATACCTGCATATTTACAGAAACCACAAATCTGCTGTCACTGATGCTTGTGCAAATCTTGGTAAAGCAATTAATTTTATGCATAGCATGTTACCAGAGGAAACTTCTACAGGAAGTCTGTGAGCTTTTTGTTGTGTAGCTGTTGCGATCCGAGCATAGCTGTAAAATGGATCTAAGGAGGATAACATGTATTGTAAACTAACATCTAAAATGTTTTCTTTACAAAGACTTGGATGAACAATATGATGAAGACCTCTGAACCCAAGATTAAGCATTTTGATGGTGATGACTACACATGTATTACATTCCAGCCAGATCTATCTAAATTTAAAATGGAAAAACTCGATAAGGATATTGTGGCCCTCATGACAAGAAGAGCATATGATTTGGCTGGGTCATGCAAAGGAGTCAAAGTCATGTTGAATGGAAAGAAATTACCTGTAAGAGCCTCATTTGAAATATTTTAAATGTAGTGAGTATTTTATGCAAAGAATAGTGATTGTTATCTGTATTACTCATAGGTAAATGGATTTCGCAGTTACGTAGATCTTTACGTAAAAGACAAATTGGATGAAACTGGAGTTGCGCTCAAAGTTATTCATGAAGTTGTGAATGAACGATGGGATGTGTGCCTCACTTTGAGTGAAAAAGGTTTTCAGCAAATCAGCTTTGTAAATAGTATAGCTACCACAAAGGTGAGTAGTTGTATTAAATGATAAAAAATGTAAATAATAAAAATGTGTAAGTTTATGCCCAGTCAGATATTTGATATAAAACAATATGTGGGTTACTAAAAATAAATAGGTGTGATAATCCTTTGCAAGAGAGGATCTGGCAGAGCAATTGATTGCAATCAAAATACATTCACAGCAGTATTTCTGAATATGCACTAGTTTTTAAAACACTAGTAATCATTATCAGTGCTACGGATGTCTTATGTGAGCATACATGGTATTGATTAATTATGAAATGAATGGAACTGTTTTATTCCTTCCTTTTTAACGCATTGTAATAAAATAATTCTGAAATTAGGTTTAAAAAATATACAAACCCCTTTAAAGCTAGTAGTAGCAAGTTTTGGAGGGCAGAAATGGCTTTTGGTGTTCTTGAAAAATGGCTTTCCATTTATTGCTTTGTGATGTATAAAACTGGCCTGAAATGTTGAGATTAATTTTCTTTTATTTGTGTTTCTATATAAGGGGATCTAGGTGTTCTTGGTACTTATTAGCAACTACAGTAGTAGTGAAGTGATATTATAGCAAATGTTCATTTATGATGAAGCAGCAGTATGCTCAGCATAATAAAGTGTGACCTTTGTGCTTCTCAAATTGCTGGGGTGGTCAGGCACCAAGGCAATCACCTCAAATCAACTAGCGTAACTCATTTATGCCAGTTTGGTGTGGCCCAGGTTTAGGGTTCTGGGATCCATCATGGTGAAAGAAGGCCTTTGTCATTTCTACTCTTCACAAAATGGACCAGATGAGTAGTTTAACAACAGTCACATTATTCTAGTGATTGGTGAGGCTGGTTTTAGGGAAACTTAACCATGAGCTTTCATAAAAGATAAGAAAGATAAGAATTTCTAATCAGACACTTAGAAAACCCTCCTTGCTCTGATCTTTTCTAAAAGAGTCAAACAGAATAAAATTCTAATGGTAGCACAAGTGGTTCATAAGTGCCAGTGGTTACATTAGGTGGGATGCCTTCTTCCAGTGTCATTGTCAGTGTAGCTGAACCAGAATTCAGTGGTAAGAGGGATAGTTTATTTCATTGTAGAATATTTACTTTCTAAGTGTACATTTTAATTAAATGCTTCTCTGATACTTGTCAAAATTAGGAATAACAAAAATATCTGGTAGTGAAATTTTAATTCAGGCCTCTTTATGCAGCATAAAGAAGAAAAATAGCATGGCCTCAAACATATATACAATACCTTTATGAAGAAGCTGTCAATATGAGAAACTTAATGTTTGATAATCAGGTGAAGAAAATGTATTTGAAAAAAATGAATACTTATTGACTCCTAAGTTAAATATATTGCATACACTTACTCAAAAGATTTTGAATTTGACTCTTTTGGATCAATTTTCACCCATCATGCAGTTACACATACTTTGTTATCATATATTCTTTAAGAAAATTCATAGAAAAAGTACTGTGTATTCTTCAAAGGTAAGTGTTGTAATTTCTAGTTTTTCCCGCTCTCCCGATCCATGCCTTTATGTGTGTGACTGGATGTGGAATGTTTCGGGGCCGGTGAACCACCTCACCAGCAATTGATGTGCAGCTACCCACTGATGAGACATAATGGCTAGTAACTAACTGCGTCAACTGCCTGTCCCCTTATCTGCTAACAGGTGAGGAGCTCATTTCAGCTGTTTTTGGTTATTTATCACTGTTTGCTGAAAGCTTTTCATTTCTGTTTCTGGATAAATTTCACCCAGTCGTAACTTCCCTTCCACTTTTTTAAAACTTGCTTTAAATTCCAAAGAAGATTTTTTTTAGGTTGATGGGGTGTTTTTAAGATGTGTGTAGAAGGTCAGGCAGTATGTTGAGGCACAACTCCCTTGTTTTGTTCTTGTAAATTTGTTACCTTGGTCAGGTCCCCATTTATTCACTGTTTTTTCACAGTAGACCACCACAAAATTTGACTTCAGGCTCTGAGGCAGCATTTGAAAGTATGTGGCTATTGCGGTTGTGCAGATAACCTTTTGGTGAGACTTGTATATAAACTGATTAAACATGGTCTTCTCCAGTTCTCAATTTCAAATAGTAGCTGTAGTGGAAATTGTAGTAGAAACTTCAGTTATTAACATAACAATCTAATGATGTATTTAATATGTCAGCATTGCTAACTGCAACGCTGGTAATCATTTCAGCAGAAATGCTCAGCTAATACAAATCCAGTGTCAGATAGACTAAGGTGGAGGGAGCATCCCAAACTGTTAAAATTTGGTGGAGTTCAGCAAGAAATTTAGGACCATTCTAGAGCTTGATATTTTCAGATTTATTCTAGAATAAATAGAAAACAAATGCATAATTAATATTGCAAATGCAGAAGAAAATTGGATTTTATTTGTATAGCTAATTCTATGAAAATTTCAAATTTATAATTAGCTTCTGAATTTGTTTGCCACATGAACCATTTATCTGTCCATAGAATTTAAATATGGCTTACTTTGGAATTAATTGAAGCAGTTGGCTATTGATGATGGTATGAACAGAATGTATATAGGAGCCAGTCTAAGCTTCATTTTTAAGATTTTGGTTGTCACCATTTCATTAGATGTCTTTGCATCCTGGAGTTTGCAAGACTGGGATTCAGTCATAATGGTTACCTTCTGGGAAAAGAAGGTTATACAGTCTTAATACAGTAGTCATAATAATCATTGACAGCCCTCTAGATTTAGAGGGTATTTTTCTTTTTCTATCTTGTATTAAAATGTACTGACAGTTGGGGCAGTTATAGGCTGTTATGCTTCTATAGTGGGTACATGTGCCACCTACTGGTGAGATGGTTGAGAGGTTTCCAACTTTGAGCTCTGAACATCCCTCACTCATTGCTGCACACTAAGAATGGACACAGGAATGGGGAACTGTTATAGTAACTAATATCTTCTAAGAACAAGAATTACTGGTAAGTAGGTATTTTTTGATATGTCAGATGTTAGTTTTAGCAAAATATTTTGAAGTACTAAATTGTAAAAAAAAAAAAAGCTAAAGTTGTAAATACAAAAATATACTGAGATATTGCCTTAAGCATAAGTTTTCAGTAATGTGATTAGTAAAAGTAATGCATTTTAAAATTGCCATTCAAATGTGGAATGTTTTTGAAGCATGTAATGTGATATTTTCCAATAGTAGGTTTTCTTTACAGTTTGGGAATTGATCTATTTTTTATTTAAAGTGGCAGGATGTCGATGTGTCAACTTACTTGAACTCTCCCTGTGCTGGAACTCTGTCATCCATATGTGAATAAAAACTGCTGTATTTAAATTTTGGTAGTTTTTGGGTTTAGGATTTTTGTTTGGTTTGTTGTTTTTTTAAAGAAAAAATGCCGTGAAAAAATAGTTGCATGTATGGTGCTTCTAAAACACACTAATGGTTTGTGTTGGTGTTTAATAGGTGACTTTAGAGACTGACAGAAACCATAGGTGGTTTCTTTGAAGAGCAAGTATTGGTTTGGTTATGACTAATATTTACCATCTTAAGCCATTTTTTTTACCTCCTCTCTCCCTTTTTTTTTTTTTTTCATCTCTACTTTCTACATGGAGTTGAGAACACAGCTGCTATCTCCCATCAATTCAACCACTTTACATCATCTTCAGTCTTTTCAGATGCATACTCTGCCTTAATTTGAGAAATCCTAACTTTGGGTTTTGCTTGCTAGTAGCTTTTTCTTTTCTTCTGTCATTTTGGCTGCTGTTTTTTCTTAGTTTTGTTGTTTTCCATTTCTTCTTATCTATCCTATACTTCCTCATACCTATCAAAAGCTTTTTTTTCCTCAGTTCTGTTTTTAAAACAGCTTTAAAGGAGGGATTTTTTTTTCGTTACTTCATGACGAATGTCTCAATAGAGGTGTTTTTTTTATTTCATCTGTCCTAATGCAAATTGGTTTGAACAAGAACCATTATTTAGTCTGTATTTTTGTAAGCCATTAATTGATACTAAGCAAAGGTGTTCCTCTGTGTAAAATATTGAGCATTGAGTTAGATATATTTTAATTGGCTAGGATATGCCTGCATCAATCCATTCTTTATTGCAAGATAATAGATTTTAGTCAAAACATTATGAACTTTCCATAGCAGCCACTAGAATTTAACATTTTATTATTATTGTTACCTTTTTGTCTATGAATGTAAAAGAAGGCATTTGAATAATCAAAAATGTAAACAGCTTTCAGATATCCAGGCCTTCAGGACCATTCATATTGTTGACATCTTTCCAATTAAAGCCTGCTGTTTTACCTGTAAGGAAAGTTGTGTCACCTTGGACTTGTAAATATTTAAACATATTTATCACCATTAGTTTAGGCAATTTGAGTAGTCATTGTTCCATAGGATTAAAGACTACATGATACATACCTTCAAATACTAGTTGTTCTTCCTAGTGTGGAATGTTGTATCTATGACACAAGTTTGTGCTGTTTTAGTCTTTACTAGTCATTCTGATTCAGATTACTGTTGCATTGAAGAATATACCCCATAATTGTTAGGTTTCTTTTACATGTGTAAATCAGTAGTCATTGTTAGAATGTAATAGACCCATAATCCCCCCCCCCTTTTTTTTTTTTTCAGAAAGCTTATGTGAAACTCTGTTTTCTGGGTCTTATAGTTGGCTATTTGTAGTTTGCACTCTGTTTGCCCTTACATACGCGCCAGGCTATCAAAGAATGCTGATAGCATTTATTCAAAATGTTCTGTAAGTATAGCTAAGAAAAGGTGAGATAACTTTTGGGAAGGACTAGGTGCGGATGCTATACATATGAGGGTGAGCTCTTGAACATTTTTTAATGAACCAAATAGGGAAAGTTTTAATTTGATGAACAAATGTGTGATGTTTTTAGTCCAAGGTTATTTATGTGCCTGTTAAAAAGATTCCTCTTGACAGCCATGTGGTGTTGCAGGTACCATCCCAGTGCTACAGAGTAATTTTCAGATCTGCCATACTTGTAAGGTTTTGTATCCTGTTATGAGCTGTAAGCATCTACATTTGAAGTCGTCCACCACTGCAGTGAACGAGACATCTCCTGCTTTTTCTGTGCTGTGTAATGTGTCATCTTCACTTGTATGAAGACTGAATTACACAAAAGAGAAACTTTAAAACAAGCTTTCCTTTTTTATGCTGCAACTTAGATTTAGGAATCCATGCATATTGACTACAGGAACTTTGTTAATACAGCTAAAAGCTATTAGGAAATTAAAGGATTTTTGTTCTTTTTTTTTTTCCCTTCTCTTCCCTCATTAAGGGTGGTAGGCATGTTGATTATGTGGTGGATCAGGTTGTGGGCAAACTGATAGAAGTGGTGAAAAAGAAGAATAAAGCTGGAGTTTCAGTGAAACCATTTCAGGCAAGTAACTTTATATAAAAATACTGAAAAAGATGAATGTGGTAATTTTGAGTAAATTGGTTTCTATGTTTTCAACAGGTGAAGAACCATATATGGGTTTTTGTTAATTGCTTGATTGAAAACCCATCATTTGATTCCCAAACAAAGGAAAACATGACATTGCAGCCTAAAAGTTTTGGGTCCAAGTGCCAGCTATCTGAGAAATTTTTTAAAGCAGTAAGTAAAGCATATTTCTTTTTTTTTTTTCCTGTGAGGCAGGAATTGACATACTGCATCGAGTGTATGTACGTTATGTGGCAGTAGATTATTTAGTGCCTTATGGTACTATAGTGACATTAGCATACTGTGAAAATGGGATGGAGGAACTTCTGTTCATTTTCTGGCCTTAATATTGGAAGCAATTACTATGTTTTCACTGTTGCCCTGGATTTAAGAGTGAGCTTCACCTGATCAACTCATTTGTTGGAGATTCTGGTTTTTATATTGGTGAAATGAATTTGACTCTTAAAACCTAAACATAGGCCTTGACCAATTTTTTGTATTAAAATATTTTTGTGAAGTTGAGAATATTGCTTAACTTATCATTTGATATCAGTCCTATTCTCTTTCACTGAAGTGAAAAGATAGGGAGGGAACATGTCACATTTATTCTTCCTGTAATCAAGGAAATGCAAACTTGTGGCTGTGGTACTGAAAGTGATCGTTATTTTAGGCACCAAGTTTAGAAATTTTGGCTGCAGACTGGCTGAGTATTGCTAATCTAAATGAATGTATTAGTAGAAATATATGGTAGACATTTTTTTTTGTCACATTTTTATACAAGGAAGGACAAGTAGTTCTATTAGCCAGAACTCATTATACTAAGTCCAGTTTAGTGCCAGTAGCATAAATTGAATTCCAATAGTAAGGAAAATGGTGCCACTGCTAATACTCTTGGCATCAAAACTCAACTTACTGTGTAGTGTTTTATTCTTCTAATTCTGCGTTACTGGTGACATTCTTATTGAAATTACAGGAAAAACACAACAATCTTGTATTCATTGTTCAGATTTTGTTATATATGTTTTATTTCTATCAGTAGGTTTGACTTAGTGTTTATAATATTCCCAGAAGTGAACATTGATCTCCAGAGGTGTTAAATGTACAGCAGAATCTCTAACCAATGAGTGCTGTGGGGATAATGAAAAGCCAAAGTTCACAGTACTTTGCTCCACCTGTAATTTATTTTGATGTGAAACCAATCCTACAGCAGTTTTAGTTTAGAAAATATGCTGTATGCTATTTTTTGCTGCAGATGTGTTTCTTAAAATGTTATACGTTTCTCAAGTGGTTGATATAGAGCCCTATTCTTAAATGCTTTTGCTTGTCTTTCAGCCATTTTCAGTCATTTCCAAAGAAATTTTAAATGGTCATAAATTTCCCATAAGGTTACTTTTTGCTGTCCAAGTCCAGGAAGCAGGTGCTTAGTAACTAAAATGTCTCAGTACGTCAACCACACAATATAAGACATCCTCTTATTAGGTCTCAGTCCTCTTTTTGTCCTTCCACCAATTATATAAGGGGTGGAAAAGAAGCTATGCGAGTGTTATATTTTGGTTTTGTGTGCGTAAAATGCTAAACAGTAAGGAATGTGCTAATTCCTTGACCTTTTATGTGTTGCAGCTTTTAAAATTTAGGGGGCTTTGAGAAACAGGGTTAGGTCAGTGACTTAAAATTGAGATATAAGAATCTGCTGTGTGAAGCTTTGTTTTTTCTCATCCACTATTCTGATCTGTTACTTATAGGCCTCTAACTGTGGTATCATAGAGAGTATTTTGAATTGGGTCAAATTTAAGGCGCAAACTCAGCTGAACAAAAAATGTTCATCAGTGAAACACAGTAAAATCAAGGGCATTCCAAAACTGGATGATGCTAATGATGCTGGTAAGAGCACTTATTTTTAAAGTCTTTAGTGTTTCATAGATTTTTCACAAACATCATCATTTCTAAACCTGGCTTTATTTCTCATCCTTATGTATATTTTTAAATAAAAAGTCTTTCTAGTTTTCTAAACTTTCTAGAGCTAGAATTAAAGCATGATGGTTAGTTTGATATTAGGAACAGCGTTGTCTGTAGGGTAGAGAATTAATAATGCTAAAAAAAAGCGTCAGTCTAGTTCCACATTGAAAGAGTGGGTATTTTCTAATTGTGGTTTCCAGATAAATATTCTGTTTTGGAGGTGACTAGTCTTCTTGACCTTTCCAATATAAAAAGATCAGAATCTTTATAGGGTCACGAGCTATAGGAAGTAGATCACATAGTCTGCAGAGCTGAGAGAATGGTTCAAGATACTTTTTTCATGAAACTTTAAATGCCATTAGGTTCCTGTCTGGGGATGTAGGGCAAACTGGCAATCTCTGCTGCCTCACTTCTTGGCAAAGATAGGAATCACGATCAGCTGGCGATCTTCATGCCAGTAGCAATGAGATGGGAGTTGTCCTTGAATTATTTGAGGGGCACATGTGACTAAAGAGCTTGAAATGTTGTCAGTTTGTGTTAATGTTAGTTGATTTGTTTAATACATCCTTACATTAATAAAAGAGAAATTGCAATGAAGTAGGTGGGTGAGTTAAGTAGGTAAAAGCATGTCAAGACTGGTAAGGAGGCTTTTTTTGAGCTCCAGTGTTCAAGTCAAAGATGACTTGATGAGATAATTAGTCCTGTTTCATTTTCCTTCTTTTCTTTATGATTCCTTGGTCTCAGTTTATTAATTTTTTAAATATAGTTTTCTTCAGTGTTTTATTACTTTTGCAGTTATTCAGATGTTGTATTTTACCTTAGAGGTTGATAATCATGTCTCCTTTAACTAGTGTTTTACTTGTGGAATTTGCATTCCTTAGGCAGATGCAGTTCCTGGTATTTTTGATGCCTAGAAGATTGTGTGCTTGAAGAAATGCAGTGTTTTTATGGCTATTGAGCCCGGTGCTCATAAATAACATTATGAATTATTTTGGATGCACTTTTGTCATAATCTTTCTTTAGCTCTGCTTTGGGGACCAGGCTTCAAAATAACTTTTTACTCATCTTTTTTCACTGGGGGTGAGGGGAAGAAAGAACCTCTTGACAGGGGAGCTAATAAAATATTATATTGCCTTTCACCTTGAAACTTCCTCAACTGAGAAGGCATGTAGGGATTCATTTGGGCTCAACACTGATGCTTAAAGTTAGGCATGACTTGAATCTCTGTTACCCAGGTATTTCTCTGCTGTCTAGTTATTCTTATATGGGGAGCAGGAACTCTGCATCTCCCAAGAAGGCTTGCCTAGGTATTGGTTTATTGAAGATCTGGAACATAGTGGATTTCTCCCATTGAAGGCATTGCACATTCGGCATGGACACACAAGAAGGCAGAGGGGCATTCAGTTTCTCAATACAACGCATGTTGTCATATTCATGCTTGGCCTGACTTTCTGAAGTGTTATATATTCTGGCAGAAATGTTTTAAATTGAAGGATCACAAGTAATTAATTTAGTAAAAAGTTTCTTTTTAAAGACTGAAGGTACCTGAAGGTACCTGATTGTCTGTTTGCTCTTGAAAATCAATAGGAATTTTTGTTCTTTATGTGCAAGAACTAAGCTAATCCTATAATCAGGATCTCTGACCTTGACAAAACGCTGCTTTCAATGAAAAAAGGGAAGGCAGAAGATGATACAGAAGAGTGACTCTCTAGCATGGCTTAGTGTGTGTCGGTTGCTCTGCTCTTGAGAACTTGTCTCAATGAACTTTAGCTGGTGACTGCATCTGACTGAAAGCTTGATGTTTCTTGACATAAGGGGAAAAGGAATTCATCGTGCCATTAAAATTTTTTAACACAGACAAAACACTGTAGAACTATCAATTTTTCTGCCTTTGTGATCTTGATGGGAGATTCTCAGGGTCAGGGGAAGTAAGGACTGTGTGTGCTCTTTCTGTGTGTGAGAGGTGATGGTCACTTCTTTTAGGTCCAAAAAATTAAACTTGTTGTTATATGAATGTGTGCTATGAACGTGCACATGACTAAGCATATCATGAAGAGTTACACAGTTACAAATAATTTTTCAAAATAATTTCAGACCTCTCTGTAAGCTGGAGAAAAGGTTTAACTGATGCATGGAGATACAGTTTCAAGGAGATTGCTTCAGGACATTCATTCATGTCACTCAGAGGTTATCTGTAATCTTGCAACAAAATACAGTAGTCTTATTTGATATAGTTGTGTTTCAGGACAAAAAAATATTTGTAAGGATCCTGGGAATTACACTTTCATAAGCACCCCGAATCAGATGAGGGAACTGGGTTGGCTTTGGTTTCTAAAAGCAGGTGCCAGTAGTTGTTGGACTGAAGTAGTCAAATGCAACTGGGAGAGAATAGTGTCTGGCCAAAGACCCCTCTGGCTTTAATTCTTCCAGTGGTTCTTAGATTTTATTTTTACTTCAAGAGTGAATTTGTAGCTGAGGTCCAGGATCCACAGGTTTCTTGAGTGCTAGGTACCACTGAATTTTTGAATCAATGCTGGTTAATACTTAGGAATAGGAGAGAGATGTATCTGTATAGTGATGTACTTGCTGCAGATTTCCTCCCCCACTAAAAAGAATGACTCCTATACCTGGTCTTTTTTGCTTTCTTGAGAGCTTGATGAGGTATACATAGTTCTATGGCTTGTTGGAGGAGAAAAGATAGAAATGAAAGGAAAAATAAAGAACCAGAAATAGGAATATAGGGTTGTAAGGAAGCAGCTAGGTTGCTAAATCTGGGGAAGCATAAAAGTTTTCTTTGAACCTGCCGTTTCGTGTAGTTTTCTCCTTGAGTTCTTTAGAGCTGTGTTCAGAAAAATGCCTGGCACAGTGTATTTCCATGAAATTGATTGCTAATGATTGCGTCCATTCCAGAAGATAGTGCACCTGGATGATATTCAGATGTATTTTCTGCAGTTCATTTGGGAAAAAAACTGTCTCTCATATCTTCTAAAACAGCAGAGGTATTTTTCTTGGTATTTGGATTCCACCTTCCTGATAGCATGGTAGCTATTGATACCTTTTGATATAGTGTGAATAGCTCCCTAATTTAGCTTACGTTAAGCCATATGTGTGATGCAGAAGACCAAAGGTGTTGAATGTAAGTTCTGTGTAACAGGAAGTGCAGGGTTGTTTTTACCTACCAGGTAAAGGCAAATCAAAACACCTGCTTTAAATGCCAATATATTCAAAGCTGTCTTATTGACAGTAGGTAAGACTCAACCAGTTTGAAGTTTTTTGCAGTCTTTCCTACCACTTGGCCTTGAGAAAATAGCAAAACTGCTTAACGAGCGTTTGCACCCTTGGAAAAGGGTGGATTCCTTTTTTGAACCTGCTTATTGTTTAGAACATCTGTTCAACTATTGCAGTTGCAATAAACAGAATATTCATGTCATACCAATTTTGAGCACACTGGACACACAGGTACTGAAATGCAGTGTGTCTTGTAGAATCAAAATTGCACTATTAGTAAAGATTTGTTTCTTCTGTTCAAGAGATTTCTGAGAACGTATAATAAGTAAAAATGTTCTTATCTTTTGAGCTTTTCTGTCAAGTTTTTCTTCCAGTTGCCTCACTTCAGCCAATGGACAATAAAAAAAGAAACCCCCAAAAATGTGACTTAATAAATTACTTCTGAAAATATTCTGTGAGGAAAGGGGAAATGCAGAATGGGAAATGACTCCTGTACGTAACTCTGACATGCATAATATATGTGTGTAAGAAATTTGCAGCTAGAAAAGTGAAACAGTAAAGGTACAGAAGCAATCTGTCTTTTTCTTAACTTGTGCAAATGTGTGGGGACCGTTAGATAAGATGCACCGCCATTGCATCCCATTTTGTCTATTTTGCTCCTTGTCCATAGCAAGCCATAGTGTATTGCTAAGGGCAAGGATACTTGTTCTTGTGCAGTTTTGATGGTTTGGAGGCCCATCATTAAAAATAGAAATTCAGCCTATTTAAATTACCTGACAGAGAGTAGGAAGAATATTCATGACTGATATGGTTGTATTTCTGTTATTTAAGTTTAAAAGTTACGCTTTCTGATTTTTTGCCTTCCTTCTACTTCTTCCTGGACTGCAGGTGGCAAACATTCCTTGGACTGCACATTAATATTAACAGAAGGAGACTCTGCCAAATCTTTAGCTGTCTCTGGCTTAGGTGTTATTGGTAGAGACAGATATGGAGTATTTCCGCTCAGGGGTAAAATTCTCAATGTTCGAGAAGCTTCTCACAAACAGGTAAGTAGTCTTGTCATCTCCTTTTAGCTGACAAATGGATGTCTCCCATTTATGTTTGATTTCTAGGGTTACATATTCATTTTTTATTTTTTTTTCATGAAAATCTTCTTGCTGGGATTTCATAAAGTACCAGCTACTTCAAAGCCTGAGATAAGCCTGGAAATATTAAGTGTAATAGTACAGTACAGGAATGATAAAGTTCATTTCTTCACAAGTGCAAGGAAATTCTGCTATAACTCATATTAGCATTTTACATTAATACTTAAAAAACCTAAAATTTTATATTCGCTCCATTGTCATGGGATTTCATTGTTTGCCAGTGTGAGGCAGTACCAGCAGCATTACCCTCTTGCATTACTTCTGATGCCCTCCATACTTTGTGTATAGTAAGAGTTGTGTTGCAGATGCCCATAGAAACAGTGGAAAGAGAAGGCAGCTTTGTGAGATAACTTTTTGTTACATGCACTTTTCTCCCAGCCTTCTGGACCCAAAGTGCTCTGGCTGTAGAGGAGAAAGGGAGTGGTGCAGCCTTGAGAATTTGCATGTACAGAAGAAATATTTATGAGTGTGAAAGCTACAGGGGGACTGGGGATAAAAAGGTTATGAAGTTGAGGTGTAGGGGTGCATTGAAAAAGTAGCTATAAAGCCCAGCTAGAAAAGATTGGGATATTTCTGAATTTCTCCTTTTTAAACTGACTGCAACAATAACTTTTTAAAATACAGATTATGGAAAATGCAGAAATCAACAACATCATCAAAATAGTTGGACTACAATACAAGAAAAGCTATGAAGATCCAGAATCTCTGAAAAGTTTAAGATATGGAAAAATTATGATCATGACAGATCAGGTTAGTCTGAAATTCACAGTTTTTAATATACAGAGCTTCTTAAAACGTGATTTGCTGCAATTTTTTAGGTCATATTTTTTGTACATTATAATCTGCCTCTGTGTTATGACCATATAGATGTATTCAGAGGTAATCCATAATGTATGAACTTTCTTTATGGGAATAACTTATCTATATGTTGTTTTTGTTACTCCAAATGAACGACTGAACTTTGCACAGTAGCAGAGATACCAAAGTAGTAATGAAAACATGTATAAACAAGAGTGCTTTTGATAATTCAAAAATATCTTGAGAGTAAGTACAAAATGAAACAGTAGATGGGGCAGTAATGCTAGAAAGTCTGGGAGAGATAGGAATGGCGGCAATTATTTTTGGACAATCTCATGAAGCCCGTGTCTGTTATTCAGATTTTAGAAGTCTAGGAATCCTGTGCTTTGGGTATTTGTGAAGCTTTGTTATATTTTCTCTGAGAGGTTGAACTATCAAGCATCTCAACACCAATGAGAACTGTGGGCCAGGTTTGGCTTTCTTCCACAAAGATTCAGCTCCATGATGTCTTGGAGAGCTGTCTAGCTCTCAGAGAAAACATGTCACAGACAAAGAAACCTTTGAGCTGCAACTGTGCGCTTGGCTTGGAAGAGCTTAGCTCAGAGACAGTGGCATTCATGCATGGCTATTTTGTAGCCAGGTCCAGTTTGGAAAGGAAGTTAAAACTAACTGTTCCCTTCTATGTTTTCTGTCAAGAGACACTGTTTTGATGTCTCCAGGTCAATGAGTGGGTTTTTTGGTGTTTTTGTGGGATCTGACTTTTTATATGATTGCCTCATGTTTCATATTCTGATTTAGGATCAGGATGGATCTCACATAAAAGGCTTGTTGATCAATTTTATTCATCACAATTGGCCATCACTGTTGAAACATGGTTTTCTTGAGGAATTCATCACTCCTATTGTGAAGGTATGGGTTCTGTTAATGAGATTCTATTTATTACTTACAGTGCAGCAGAAAAGTTGATTGATTTTTTTTTTTTTAAAGGCAAGCAAAAATAAGCAAGAACTTTCATTCTATAGTATTCCTGAATTTGATGAGTGGAAGAAACATATGGAGAATCATAAAGCATGGAAGATAAAATACTACAAAGGTTTGTTTAAAAACAAATAAGTGAACTTGATGGATCTAAAAATACATAATAAATGGGTGCTGTGAAGCTTTATGTGTAGCTGTTTTCATTATAGTATCTTCTGTAATTATTTTACTATATTCCCAGTAAAATAAAAAGGATAAAATAATAAAACATAAATTTTTGAATATTGAGTAACTTTCTTTTTATTATGCAGGTTTGGGTACCAGCACTGCTAAAGAAGCAAAAGAATATTTTGCTGACATGGAAAGACATCGGATCTTATTTCGATATGCTGGTCCTGAAGATGATGCTGCCATTACACTGGTAAGAACTGATAAAAGTGCTCCCATATGATACATTTTAGTTTCCATTTTTTACTGAAAGTGGCACTTGAGAAAGTCCTAACAGGGTTTTTTTTTTTTTGGGGGGGGGGGGGGGGAGGGAAAAAAAA